AGTGCAGCTCTTAGGCGCTCGCTCCCGTCTTTCGCGGCGTCGCCGTCGGCGTAACCGCGCGCGTTGCATTATGGGACGTCGCAGTCCTGTAATCAATTCAATTCCCCGCTAAATTTAGCGGGGAAAATGATGTCGCATGACTTCGTGTCACGTCACCTATGAACAAATTCAGTTTACCTGCTAAATTCAGCGGTAAAACAGACGTCACATGACCTCAACACCAATTCAGTTTTGCCGCTAAATTTAGCGGGGAATTTAATTGGAGTGGAGGTCACGTGACGTTAATTTTCCCGCTAAATCTAGAGGAGAAACTGTCCTCTAGGTTCTCCATTTAGCCGCGAGGCGCAAGACTAAATGGACAACTACGACATTATTACCTCGAATTCATAATCAATTAAAGCCCGCTGACAAAACGCAAGCCCGTACCCGATTTAGTAGTTTCGCTGCCTCCCTGTTTTTCTTTGTTGATTGGCTTTTAAATCGAAATTTCCTTTTTGGCTATATTAGACCCTATTTATTTATTTTTAATCGGTTTAAACCGGCCGGGTGGTGTAGGTAGAGAGAGAAATTTTATATTTATTCATTTTACCTCTTACTTGGAAAATTAAAATGTTGCGTTAAGTCGGTCAGCGTTTTTAACCATGAATTCTCCCGTTTTTGCATTCAAAATCGAGGCCTCGAAATAAAATTTGGTTTCGAAGTAGCTCCTAACTCGAAAGGAGTCTTGCAAAGTAAATATTACAAAACCCATAATTTGCTTGTTTTTCGTTTTGTTTTTACATACTTGTTTTTCCAAGTATTTAAACAAAATTCATGTTTGTTAGCTCAGTGTATTAGGAGCGGTTAAGAGAAACACGCTTTCATTTAGGGGTCGACGTATTTAAATAGAAACATGTTAGGAAGTCGCCCTTAACTCCCAAATGCATCTAACAACGTAATATTTTGCTCTAAAAAGCTATGTTTTTGTAGGAGTTTATTCTTCCTTTAAGACAATGATGAAATCTGCCTGAAGCTCTCAAATTTTGAGCAGCGTCCCTGGAGAGCACAATCTGATATTTAACCCTCGTGCGTCGGAGTGCGTCCTTTCAAGCGCTCTGTTAGTGACAAACGTTCAGAGACGTCAGTTTACGGCCGTGGATCGTGCGTGATGGGACGTCAGCATTAAATGGCCGCGTCTCGCAGACGCTGGATGAGGCGCCTCTTTTGTGGTTGCGTCTCGTGGGCGCTATACAGCTCGAGAGAAACGGGCATATTGGATCGAATTGTCGTTGGATGCTTTCCTCCTTGCGTGACGGACCCTGCGAGCGACCTCGGCCGTGCAGCGTTTGACAGGCCGTGCAAGGACAGCGTGTACCCCGCTCGTTTTCGGTGAGGCGAGCTCGGGCGATACAGGCCCTAGCCAACTTCGCCCTTGCTGAGACCCGCTCCGCGTGTTGTCTTTACTAATCCGGAATCGCGTCCGGCACTCCACGTCCCCTCGTCCTGTCCGCCAAGCTCTTGTTTGTCGAGCTGAGACGTTCGCGCACCATTTGGATTCTGCGCTCTTTATTTTGTTTTCTTTCTTCTTATTATTTTTTTTTTTTTTTTCAGCGAGAGCTTTGGTATATGTCTGTGTCCGTGCGCTGTGTTGACTGCCCGTCTTTGCTCCCGGCTCCCGACACGCTGAGCTTTATTGAAGGACGCAGTGTCTCCAATATCGGCTTGCGGTCAACGATATTTGTCGCGTATATTTTCTTGGGGAGGACTGGGAATGGGGCAAAAGGGGGGGGGGGGGGGGGGGGGCAGGCGACGACAACGAGGGCATGAATTTCGACGTATAGTCTTGTATGCCTGGAACCCATCTCCGTGCATCGGAAGCGGTGCCAAAATGGCAACACATGATGTTACAGAAGCCGGAGTGTCATGCTGTTGGATGTCGCGACCCTGGCGTAGGAATGCTGTCGAAAAGATGCCGAGAGGCTACAGCGCCTTTTTGTGGTCGCATTTCACGGACGTTTTTGTAGACTACAGCGTATATTTTGCTCGCGCCTCGCGGACGCTAAGGGAAACTACAGCGTTCTTCTGGTGGTTGCGTCTCGCGGGCGCTAACGGCGGCTACGAGGCCTTTTTGTGTTCGCGTTTTGCGGACGGTACACCCTCCCCTGGCCGAGATAAACTGGCTCGTTGTCCCATTGATTGGTCTTTGCTTACATCTGAAACATCGTGGAGACGTTACGTGCGTTTATTATTCAATATATGGCGGATTAGTTAAGTGCAGCGCGGGGCTCGGTTTGCGTGGACGCAAGGTTGGTACTGGCTTAGATATTATTTCTTTAAGTCACGGTCATTCACCAGTGCTGGCAACTGCAAAGATGTGTGCTTACGACGAGGTAATTTCTGTTGCCCTAAACACCTTTCCAAAAAATGCTCCTCGGCCGCCGCCATGTTGCTGATGCTGATGCGACTCTCGTGCCCTCTATCAGCTAGAAATTTTCTGCCGCTCTCTGGGACTGTGAAGACCAGCTCAGCGCGGTTCTCTACCTACGTTTTTGCGGTTTTGCATTCGACGTTTTCTCGCACCTCTTGAAAGTTTCCACTTAATTTTTTTTATGCGTGCTGCGTACCCTTTTTGCGTTATCTTCCAGTGTGAGAAATAAGGCTGGTATGTGCCTGCCATTCAAGCTTTTCTGCTCGACATTCACGGAAAACGATGGTGGTGAAGGACGTCGAACGACCCTCGACGCGATTTTGCGAACATTGTTCTCTCCCCTCCCAGAGATAATCCGCGTAGAATCCTCAGTCATCTCCAAAAATAGTTGTCCGGGTTGGGGTGCAGTTGTGAGAAAAGGAAGCTCTCCCCAAAACGTGCCTTAAAACGAAATCATCTCAGACTCCGTCCGATCGTCAAGATGTGACTATCGTCGACTGTGACTGTGTTATTTGAGATCTTTCTCAAATAAATTCTTTTCGGATAACGTTGCATTGTGTGGTACGTACGATATATTGTTCGAATGTTAACACTTCCTCAATTGTATGTCCGTGTCCTGTCCATCGGTAAACACGTTATTTGTGAGCGTGAAAAATACATCCCTTTCGGCCCTCTTCTGTTGTAATTTATTTTGACAGCAAAGCGCTTTGTCGTTTCACATACGGCGAATCCCGCGGCGCCAACAGAACTTGTCGCATTCGTGCTGTCACACGCGTACCCAACAAAAATAGTTTACAGTTTTTTTTTTTTGTTTTTATTTTGCTTTTTTTTTTTTTTGGTTGTTGCACAATGCTTTTCAATATCCTCGGGGAAATGCATGTACCATGAAACACAAAATATAGCGGGAAAAGACGAGAATTTAGCCGCCAACAGTGTTTGAAACTGCGCCTACGCAGGCTGCGCCTATTGAAATTACAGTCCACTCGGTTAGGGTTAGGAGGGACGCCGGTGAGAGTCTAGCCTCAAACTCAGTGACTGGGCTCGAAAGCGGTTTGTTGCCCCTGGGGTCGAGTGTTTTTTGGAAAGGTGTATACTTTTAACCAGTGTTGTAGGTGTTACCGAAAAAATGTTACGAAATATGTTACGCATTACTTGCAAGTAAAAGTACCACGTTGCCGTCCTACGTTACTTCAAAATAAAAGAAATGCGTTACCGTTACCGATAAAAAGTGACGCACGTTATTTTCGTGTTACTTTTCTTAAATTATGAATTAAAACGGTTTACTGTTTTGATGTTACAGGCATGCATACGCGCCATTTTTTAAGAAATATTATGTTCATGCAGACACTGAATGTAGCTAATTTATCTTTCTTTGGGTTTCACTTAAATACTTACAAAAAAGGCAAAGAAAAACGCAAAAACTAAAAATTTCACATAATTTGGTAACTAAAAACATGAAAAAAAATGGTCTAAATTTTAGGTTTTGAGAAGAAAAAGTAATGTGCAACTCAACTCGGTTACCCGTGACTGGAAATATGAAACGCAAATGCGTTACCCGTTACTGTTTTGAAAAATAAACGATTAGTATATTACACGTTACCAAAAAAAAGTAATGCGTTACCAGTAACGCCATTGCTTGTAACACATTACCGCCAATGCTGCTTTCAACATTCTTCAGCGTGTCCCTTGCCCCCCCCCCCTCGCTCCCTGCCTCCCTTCCTCCTGAAAAGAAAATGTAGATTAAAAAAATAAAAGACGTTAACAATTTTCTTTAATGCCGAATTAGAGCGCAGCTTTAGAGGAAAAGGAGGGGAGGGTATGCCCCTCCTAGTTAGGCACTCCTCTCCCATATCCTCTCCCGGCGAATCGGTGAAGGCACAAGTTCTGGCACCGCGTTTCTTCGCCGTCTGCCGCGGATGCTCTCCGCTCTCCCAATGCGCATTGTCCTAACCAACGCGCATGCTTGCAACTCAGAAAGCGCACCGGAAACAGCGGAAACGTCACGAAATGCGCAATTTCAGGGAAGCGCACGACTTACGCGCGCACGAAATTGCGTTGGTTTGGATCACTCTAAAATAAACGACACTTTGGCAAATGCTCAGCCTTCGCCCAAATGTAGTGCTAACAATTCGAACCAGATGGCAAAGTGTCAGAACTGGCCGTGTTCTTGTTCAGTGGTTAGAAGTGATTTTCTGAAACTTTCAGTAGGAAAATGGGTCCAACTCTCGATAGTTTGCGCCATTCAGCCCCATGTATTCGTGGGTGTTGTTTGGCACCATGTTCCCCAGTGAAAAATTAAGAAAATTATATATAACCTTTGATTTTTAATAAGATCACGGTTTATTGTGAAACTTTGGCATTTTGTTTTGAGCGCTAGCGCTACTTTTTGGAGAGAAATGAGTGTTCGGCAATGTGCCAATTATTTTTGCAGCAAAAAAAAAGAATCATAACTTTTGGGGGCACTTTGTAGATACAAAATATTCAAATTATTTCTTATTTTTACGGATTTTGTGTTGCAAAACATTCGAATTGAAACATGGCCGGCGACGTTTTTACACGTTGTACTAACGAGTGTTTTTCCGGCTGCTCCCAGGGGTCCGTTCAGCGTGGTGCGGCGATGCGTGCACAAGACCACGGGCCAGCAGTTTGCTGTCAAGGTAGTCGACGTCGCCAAGTTCACCTCGTGTCCTGGACTCGGCACAGAAGGTGAGGAAACTCTCGACTTGTGATCCTTCTTTTAACTGCCTCTAAAACACTGCGCATTGCACTTTACTGTAAGTTCTGTGGGTTTTTTTACATATAATGTGTTTAGGGTAGGATTCCATAAAAAGAAAGTATCCCAATAAACTGTAACACAACACCCTTAAGAAATTTGAAGCGTCTGCTTTTCCGCCAAACGCTTGAGAGAGCCAAACGTTGCAATCTACGAAAGGAACCAGGGTGAAAATGTGTTTATACTGTGTCGTTTTCTACCTTCATTTTTTTTGCACTTTTGTGATTACATAAACACTCTTAACGCGAATAGATGCGTCCGGGTACATAATGAACATCAGACTTGCGTACAGACAATACATTAGAAGAGAAGCAGCAGGCCTTCTCTTCTAGGTAGTGTGTTTTGCATACCGAGTGTTCACTCGGGCAAAGTGCAATTTGTGTGGCGGTGTGTGTGTGTGTGTTTTTTTTAAGCCTGGAACTTTAGTTTTGGTATTTTGTCCGTCCGTTTGTGCATTTCTCATTAAACTTACTGGGGAAACTGAATTGGTGTATACACCAACTCATGTTTACAAACAAACCGGAACACCCGGAGCGCCCCTAGCAGACGCCACCGGCGCTGCGCATGCGCGATGGGGGTGTGGACAAGAAGCTCGCTGTCGCCCATAAACAAACCATTGAAATGCGATGTTGTCGGCGTTGGTGTGAGTCCCCGCGCTCTTTTTCGCGTTGGAATTGTTGATTCTGCGTCCTCCTAACGATGTCTGACTGCTTGAGCAGCATCAGCGAAATTAACGAGGCTCGTTACACCGCAAAACTTTGCGTGAATAATCTGACATGCGGCGATTCATTCCGCGTGGACGCCGCAGGATGTACGCTAAAGCCTGAATCACATGATGAGATTTCGCTCACAATTTTCAGTAGCGACGTCCCTCGGACTGCAAAAGCGTGAACCGTAGCTGAGATGGTCGATGTCGACACTAAAAATCGCAAGCAGAATCTAACCAAGTGAATCAGGCATAACAAGTCGGTGATGGCCACTGGTAACAATGATCAACATCTCCTTGTATCTACTGTTTACGTCCAGCCTGCTTACCAACCTTCAAACTTAAGTCTTTTGAGGCCTGCACTTACTTCTTATCGCAAGTACAGGGCCCACGTTTGGTCTACGGGCCGGTGTCCTCTAAAAGAGCAGACGACAAGCAGAAACGTTTGAAAAAGCAGACGACAGTTCGAACGATCAGGCGACCGTTTGAACTTGAAGACATACTGAACGTAGTCCGCAGGTGCTCCGTACAACTTGACGGTTTTCCGGCGTTCATTTTGGAACAAAACAAATAAATCTGATGGCCAGAAGTATCCGTGAATTCAACCCAAAATGCTTCCCGCCCAAGCAATCGTGGTCCGACGGCGTCTGGTTTTCCCTTTTCACGGCACATATCCACGTTCTCGGACGAACTGAGCGCATAAAAACAGACCTTCAAACCTTTCTCCACCCTTTTGGTACAGCCCCAGTCGCAACATTTTGACAAGAAGGCAGGTTTTTGTCTGGTTCCTTTCAAAACAACGCAGAAATACACGTCTCACATGGGCACTTCCGCCCACAGCCCCGTACCGGAAGTGCGTCCGACGCGCCACCACCGCGCCGTGACGTAACAGAGATGAGTTCGTGTATAAGCCACATGACGTCAGGTCACATGACATCAGTTGACATCACGTGACCTATACACCAATTCAGTTTCCCCGCTAAACTGGGCGGGGAAATTAATGTCACGTGACCCGATGTTACAAAGCCTGTACACCATTTGAGTTTCCCTGCTAAACTTAGCAAAAAAATTAATGTCACGTGACCTGATATTCCGAGGCCTGTACACCTATTCAGTTTCCCCCTAAATTTAGGGGGCAAAGTGAATTGGTGTTTAGGTCACATGACATCAAGTCAAGTGACATCAATTTCCCTTCTAAATTTAGCGGTGAACCTGAATCGGTGCATAGGTTATGCGACCTAAACACCAGTTCACTTTGCCCGCTAAATTTAGCGAGGAAAGGCACTCGACCTGACGTCACGTGACTTGTACTTCTATATGCCCGTGACCTATCAAGCGTATCACACTATAGTCCGTTGCAACCTAAGAACGAAGGGCGACGGTAAGACGGGCCGGGGAAGAGGAAGCAGACGGAACGCTGGAGAAGAGAGAGGGAAACCTCCTTCTCTCTTTAGCATTCCGTCTGCTTCCTCTTCCCCGGCCCGTCTTACCCTCGCCCTTCGTTCTTAGGTTGCAACGGACTATAGACTGTACATTGTCTTATAAGCAAATTATTTGTACCGCGCTACCAAATTTGGGTAGCGCGACAAAGCCTGTTTGATGCGTTGTGTTTATTTGGTGTAGTGATTTTTGTAGTAGGACATTTTACCGAAGTTTGAAACCGTGGCACGCATAGTCGTGCTAACAAACACTTCTGGCGCGCTGAGGTGTCAAAGCGCTCGGATGGTTGTGTGCTGTCCTCTAGCCCGGTACAAAAAGCTGGATGATCAAAATTGTATATCCAGCGCTTTACCCACAATACAACATCTACCACTGCGAATAGACTGTATTCTTTATTATAATTCAGACAAAATAAAAGGAGAGAAAGGAATGTTTCATCAAATTGAAAATAGGAAAGCGAAATTCGAGAACCTCTCGCGTGTGTAGTAAACACTTCAGTGAGAGCGACTCCAAATGTCCTGTTTGTTCCATTGTGTTTTATGAGAGCTAGCCTCGTACTAGTTCCAAGCTGATTTTTTTTTTTTTGTAAACCAGTGAACAAACATTTCCTCGAAATAACTGACAGGAAAAAGCGGTGACTGGCTTTCGGAGTCGTTTTTACTGAATCCCTGCTTATTCACCTGGTCGACACAAAACGTGCGAAATCTCCTCGCAATCAAAGTTTTAAATCTAGTACCGTAAGTTGGTGACGCTTCAGCGTCCCAAAAACTGAGGTATACACCTGCTGTGAATTACAAGTGTTTGTATGTTTAGTTTTGCGGACACAAATGAGCATAATAAGTGATGCACTTCTCAGCGAGCAATCTTAGATTTGTAACGATTCTTAGTAAAAATTTGATAGGACAGATTAATCAATTGCCTGAATTTTCTGGGCCATGGCTGATAATTTAAGAATTTATGAAATTATTTTGCTTTTCTTTCGAGCCGAAGTCGCAATGTGACAAATTTCTTTGCCACATATTTGTTCCAGGAAGAGCTATGTGTCAGTTGCTGACTAGCGTTTGCTCGGCAGCAACTGTCGAGTCGCACTTGGATTGTAGCATCGGTATCGGCAAGCTCGATGTAGCTAAAACAAGTGTGTGTCGCTCTGCAACAGAACTGTGCGCACATGCTCAGTTAAGAAGCCAGCACATGATTTACGCTGGTGAATGCAAAACCTTTTTCTACAGCAGCCTTTAAAAATCTAAAAAATTAAGAATCAGAGACCCTGACGCACGCCATGCAAACTGTAATGTCAAGCTCCAGGCTTGTTTTTGAATGTTTCAGAGATTTCCCCAATATAAAAATTAACTCCGAGGCACTGTTATTCATTAGAAAGATTTTTCACAAAAGCGCCATTCATGCTCAGTCAGCATAGATGCAAACTAACGTAGCACTCCATACTTTGACATAGTGCGTCGTCTGCTCGTATCGTACCAGCCCCGTCACAAGATGGCGCCCTCGACATAGCGCCACCAAAACATCTCGTCACCAATAGGACTTTGCAAATAAAGGGAGCTGCCAATTTTTTATTTTTTATTTTAAGGCTTGTTGCATGCGTCCATTCATCGCTGCTCGATAGCTAAATTTAGCAGGAAGAAATAAATTGTAGTTATATCCCAATTCAATTTCCTCAATAGATTATGCGGGGACCTTTTTCCTCCTAAATTTCACGTGTAAACCTAAAGGCCCGTTCACACTCTTGCGACCGAGTGAGACCTAGAGAGACCAGACCGGTTTCTAAGCCTCTTGCGATCCCTTAGGACCAGCTCTGCTGCATCGCATCCGGTCCTAAGGAGTCGCAAAAGGCTTAAAAACCGGTCTGGTCTCTCTTGGTCTTACTCGGTTGCAAGAGTGTGAACGGCGCTTAACTTCTGTATAATCATACACTAATTCGGCGCCACACACTGCAGAGTCGTACCCTCCTTGGCACGAGCCAAGGAGGGGGCACTCTAGTTCTGTTTTGTGGGCCTTTAGCTGAATTTTTTTAAGATGAAGAATTAGGATCCTCTTGTTTGTTTGTGGTTCTTTCTGAGCCCCAAGCATTACGACACGGTCCTGTTATGTGACAATATATTTGTGTTGTTACATCTTTGCGTTTACGAAATGCTACTCTGAAAAGCGCGAACGGGGCGACTGTTTGGCAGGGGCGTTTTGCAGACGAAACACTACCCTAAGTAGTATACAGTTATTTTAGCGATCTTCGCGATCCAAAGAAGTAGAAAAGTGCACAAGAATGCAGTATTTCAAGCAAGACATGCTCTAGCACGTCAGAACAGATGTTACCTGCAGGAGCTTCCCCTAGCTAGATAGAGCATTAGCGCCAAAGAAGCACAACATATTGACGCTTGGCCACCCTGCCTGCCGGCGATTTGATACCTTTAGTATATTCTTTGTTTCCTCTGTCAGCGATGATATGGGCACTTTGTCGCTAGGTAACGTTCTGGGGCTGATCTGAAAGTTTTGGCTTAAAAGCTTTGTTTTTAAGCCGAAACTTTTAAACCAAGACTGCTTTTAAGCCAGACCGTGTTTACATTTCTTTTTATGCTTTTCATAAACATGCTTCCATTACCTATGATTTTTTTCATTACTTGACTAAAACATGTTACTATAAATATTATGTATGTTTTAATTTTTTTATTTTACCGGTGTAAAAAAAACAAAAACACTTTATTATCTAGGTCGTTAGTACTAACCATGCTTGATCCCCTGAAGTCTGTGCCTAAAAAGTCACGAAGCTTGGGAATAAATAGTGTTTATAATTGGTCGAGAGCGTTTTATGGTGGCTTTGATCTGGGTTTTTTTTAGTTGCGAAATGCTGGGCGACGCCGAATTATGTTAAGCTATAAAGTGTGTTCTAATAGTTTCTCCTCTTATTGCCCCAGATTAGTTAACAAACAAATGATGCTCGGAATAACATGCATTCATATGATGCGTTCAAAGGCACTATAGGAAACATTAATGTAGATTATAAGTTGATTCTTGTTGTTCCAGTCTGTGTCCTTTGTTATGGCGATTCCGTCTTCTGGACTTTCGCAGAAGCTAATTGTGCCAATTAGCCTTGGAGAATGTTGTTTGAAAAGCCGGGGTTTCCAATGGTACACTTGTCTGCCGGGAGCAGTTCTGCTCCTTTTCTGTCCTTTCCGAACTTGTTTTAGTGTGACTACATACTTCATGTACTTTGAATTGCAAATGTCCTTTGTCAGAAATTCTTGAAAAAAACACTTCCTGAAATTGTTCCTGTCATTGTGACTCCAACAAATTCGTATATATTATTGTCTTACAATTTTCTTTTTCTTTAAATTTGAAGTTGAAATGTGGGAATAAACCTAGTTGTACTCTTTGTTTTATGGGCGATTAGCGAAATGTTAACAGCTGCCATTATGTTTAAGGGTATATTGTCATAAACAAACATAGGAATTGATTGTGAAACTGAAAATAAATATTTGTATGAGGCGAACTTGTGCCTACAAACTTGAACAGATTCCAGCATCTGTAAGACACAAAAGGGTGATTGTCCTGAACAAGCGCCTTGCTTCTGCTTTTATACACCCAGTATGTTCAAGAATGTTCTGAATCGGTGACAGCCGAAATTGGCCTGGAATTTTCTAGAATAGCAAAGGGTGATAAAAGAAAGGACTGGGCCTTGCAGGTTCCAGCCTCGTTCCTACGCACAACAGCCACGGGCGTTGCTAAAAATGCCACACACGCGGCAAATATGATAGTTTGTAGTGCTTGACCCTCTGCAAATCTGGCCAAACTACATACAGTAATTTTTATATTTTCAATAATGTGAAATCTGTTTAAATCCAGTTAAATTCGCATCTAATTAGTACACAACTTGCTGCCACGTCCCACGTCCCATGTAGCATTTATATTTTAGGTGACTGTACTCTTTAGCGATAACTCCATACCACAGTATAAATAATTGGAAGAACACAAACCACAAGACGGACAAGACGATTTCCCAACTGTGTTTTGTGTTCTTCTGTTATCCTTACCAGCACGCTCTCCATTCCGAGTTCCACTTCACAGTCTTCAGATGTTGATCATGAGTTAATTGTAATACTTACTATAGTGTGTGAATGATACTATCTATAATATATTTTAATAGTAACTGGCAGCCGTGGTGATTTGGATGAGCCAGTGCAACTTGATAATTAACCGAGTCATTGCTAGCAAGAAACCACTTCAAGTTTATTTTTATTTCTTAAGAATGATGTGGTCATTGTGTAATGTGTAAGTATCATACTTGCTTTTGACTTATCTTTGTCTTTTCTTTTCCAGACTTAAAGCGAGAAGCCACCATCTGCCACATGCTCAAACATCCACACATTGTTGAACTGTTGGAAACATACAGCTCCGAAGGAATGCTCTACATGGTGTTTGAGTAGTAAGTTTTCCGGCTATTAATTTATGTTATACGGCGTGCAAGTTGGTCTGCTTCTTGCACACCTCATGCATTTGTTTACCCCCAAACACACCCACATGCTTTTGTTTCCGGCAGACCAATGAGGGCGCGCACTTGGCTGCCTCGCCATCGCGCGTTTCCTGCGCATTCTCTATGCTGCCCTTCGATTGGCATGCTCCTGTTTGCCTTCCAATACACCACAGTGGTATTTTGAAATACTTGCCCCCCGTATTGTGGTGCTGCTTTGGTCCACTTAATCTTGTTTGAATTCCCGTACCTGCTGCTTATTTGTGTTATTGCGGTGCAGCTCTGGTGCACTTTGATTTTTTTTTAATTCCCGTACCTGCTGCCTTTTTATGCTATTGTGATGCAGCTTTTGTGGCCATTCATTTATTGCAAATAACTTAGTCAAGGACAACTAGACTGGAAACCTTGACATATGTTGAAGTTCATTGATATTAACAAAATACAAATCAAAGTGCCATAAATATGGAGGCACAAACCCTCTATTGAATTGCTTGTAATTTTTTTTGTATACAGCGACGCAAAAGTTCTAATGATCCCCACCTGCAAGAACTCCAAACGAAGAAAATGGCCAGTGTACACAGACATGTACTCTTTTAGCCACCGCAGTAACACAAAAATATAATTATAATTCCGGCCCCATTTTACAAAGTTGATGGGAATAGGAAATGCTTAGTTTGGAATTAGTTATATAAAAACATCGCCAAAAATCATGTCTTTTTATATGTACGACACATCAAAGCCGTGCAGCGTAAAGCATAAGCTGGGTCACTAGCCACTACCTTAATTGTTTGCTTTTCAGCTTAAAGTAGCTACAGCAGAGCCTTATATGTGTTTAATACAATCCCCAGCGCGACCACGCATATTTTAATGCGCCTGGAGGTGAGCCTCTCCTGATGTAGTGTTTGTACTGCAAGAAACCGGTAGCGCGAGGAGCCGCAAATATGCAGGGTGTTTTTGCTATTACCAGGTGCATTATCGGTGGGCTAGACTTTGTAGTTTATATATTGCACCACTTTGGTATATTGAAATTTGTTTTATTATTTTTGCCCTGATAGTTTAAAATACTGAATATAATTTATGTTAATTTATGCAGGAAAGCTTATGAAACCTTTGCAAAGCAATGGAATCGGGCCCTAATTATTCTGGTCTTTGTGGAAAACAAATTATGACCGCTATACTAGGGGGAAATCTTTTAATTTTGTATTTAGTCATATTTTTGTATCATCTATTTACTAAAATAACTCTTGTGACCCATCGTATCATTTACTACATGCTCAAATAACTCTTGTGGTCTCTTTTCGCCCTTGCAATGTAGGTATTACAATTATGACTGGGTTTAACAGTTTCTTAAAGATCCTGTCATTGTATTCTATTGAGTATGAAATGTGTGGTCTTATTGCTTGATTTTTGTCCTTTTCAGTATGGAAGGGGCAGATTTATGCTTTGAGATTGTGAAAAGAGCCACTGCAGGATTTGTCTACAGTGAAGCTGTCTCCAGGTATTTAGTGTAGCATTTTATGAAACTAAAATATTGCCTTTTTGTACTTAGTCATTATGGTCTTTTCTTTATATATTGCTTTCAAAATGGTACCAACTTGAAGATATATCTGATTTGCCATCCTGGTTTTAGCCAGTCTATCATAAATAAACTTGTACATACTAGCTTTATGATAATCTTCAAATGGTTGTTATTTTTGAGTACTGTAGACAATCTTAATGATTGTCCTAATTAGGTTGAATGTTTAGCTTTTTTCGTTAATCAGTGTTTGTAAAGAACCTTTGGTAAATGCATTTCAGGCCCCTAATATTTTATAATTCCTGTGCACTTCAGAGTTTTTACCACTTTTGGTAGAAATGACAAATATGCCAATGTATTTCATGCACAATTATTATGGAATGCAGTCTAATGTTCATTCTTTGGTCAAATATGGCCCTTGTGCTACTAAAACATATTACTATTAAAATCCAATGGTTGTAGTGCCAGAACAGTTTCATACTAAAGTAGTGTTATCTGGTAGCATTAAGTGAAGCCAATTTATCATTGCAATGAAATAAGACTATCCACACATTCTGTTAATTGCGATCATGTTTAGCATTTCAAATTTTCTTGAAGTATCCCTTTAATTTGGAGGATTTAAGGACTATCCTACCTCCTCAGAATAATCCATCAATAGAAGTTGAACAAAAGTAAAAGTGAGATCTTTTTTGAATGCGCAGTTTAGTTTTCAGATTTTAGTACTAAACTTTTAGCATGTTCTTTAATTGACGTGAATTGTAAACACACATTTTATGCCTTTTTCATTTACAAGTTGTAACCTGTAATTTGTAATGATATCACTGGAACAATATAGTTCCTGTAGACACAATATTCATAATTTATTAATGAGCTGGAATCTTACCTAGCATAATGTTAAGGCTCATGCCAATCTTAATGTTGTAAAAAGAAAGGACGATTATTAATCCAGGGAGTGTGCCGACATTCTCAACAAAAAGTCTTAAACCGCTCATGCGAGTGTAATATTTCCTGGACTATAGATTGAATTTCACATGGTGCAGACTATACGAGGATTTGTCTTTTTTAGATAATTTCTTTTTTAGATAATTTAGATAATCATTTCACATGGTGCAGACTGTACGAGGATTTGTCTTCTTTAGATAATTTCTTTTTTAGATAATTTCTTATGACAAAAAGTAACAGATTTTGTGAAGGGCAGGGTATGTAAGGATTAGTGTATTATACGAGCTTCTTTGTGAGCTGATAAAGCGGACATTTATTAAGATGTGCTGCATATAAGAATTTTTATGTATGGACAAGGCAGTTAGTACGGACTATGCACTAACTGTGGACTATGCACTAGGTGTGGACTATCGACGGAACATGCGGTACTTGAACCCACATCTTTCCAGGGTCCGTGATTTGTGCGAGCAACTTTGGTTCTTTATTGCAGCCATTACATGCGCCAAATTTTGGAAGCCCTGAGGTACTGCCACGAGAACGACATAATTCACAGGGACATCAAGCCACACTGTGTCCTTTTGGCTACGAGGGAAAACTCTGCACCTGTCAAACTGGGGGGATTTGGTGCTGCCATTCAGCTTGAGTGCGACTACATCTATAGCGGTGGTGAGGGTGCTGCCTTCTTTTAATTGGGATAGTATGCTCTCACCTTTTGCAGCTGATCGTTGCATGCTCTGTGTTCAATGACTCAAAAAGTCTCTCGAATCACCCATCAATCCATTCTATGTGCACCAAAAAGCATGCAATGGCACGAGCAGAAATTTTACACGTTTTTGGGGAGGTAGGACGGTTTTCTTTTTGTCGGCTTATTCCCGCCGAAACTAAAAGAGTACAACACAAAGTCTGCTGACCCTCATCATGGCATTTGCTTTTGTGAAGCTTAATTTATGTTTGTTCACTGTATCCACCACAAGCCAGCACCCAAAAGCATGCTTTGCTGATGCAACATATTGACTGATAATTTTTAGTGACTTTAGGAGCAATTTTTTTTAAAAGAGCACTTTCATAGCAGCACAGACCTTTTTATTTCTGAAAGTGACCTCACTGAATGATGGTATGTGTAGCCTTCCACACATGTTCTATTAGCTGTTTCAGACATTTATATGTTTAGTATTTGCCGGTATGCAATGCAGAGTACAGTAATTCTATTGAGGACAGTTGTAACATTTTCAACAGGACAAGACTGCTAGACATGGCTTTGGTTGAAACTTGCAAACTTCTTTGTTTTGTAGATATTGAAATAAAAAAAAATTGTTAAATATTAGATAAATATATTCTCTCCCATTAAAACTATTTTTACCAAAATATCACTTTAGACTAGTTGGTTTTATGAAGTAATAACAATTTCATGCTGCCTGTCAGAGTATATCACAATAATTTCATAGCTTCCATCAAAATGAACAGCAAAATGAAGCAAGTCAAAACCTCCATAATTTAACTTCAGTGACACCATGAAGATTTTCTCTTACTGCTCTGGGATGCTTTATCTAGGACAAGAGTAAAACCCTGGAATTCAAATTACCGTATTTACTCGCATATTGGTCGATACGTCGTATAGGTCGACCCCCTAACTTCGGGACCCCCGAAAAAAAAAAAAAGTTGAAAAATATAATATTGGGATTCGCGTATTGGTCGACCCCCCAGTTTTGATGAGGCGATTTTTGAAAAACAGGTCGACCTATACGCGAGTAAATACGGTACACATGTAATAAAGCTTGTTTTCTAAAGTTCCATTTCTTTGATTAAACATTCTGACAGGTGAATTTTGGTTCATTGCACAGCTTTTTGGACTGGCATTGCTCGTAATTTGTTGAAAAAAAAGAAATGCACTCTGGGTCATGAGGCAAGCAAGTCACTTCCCAGATAAATGCTGCCCTCACTAGCATGTTCAGTTGCATGTGTTAAGGAGTGTCCTATAATGAAAACAGCTGATTTTACAGATATTTTAATGTTTTAAAGTGATTTTTTGTTTGCTGCTTGATTGTTGTGTTGCATTTCTGTTGGAAATTGTTCTGCTGAGAATGGAAAGCCAATTCTTGAATTTTCTGGGCTGCTGGTGCCGTCATTGCACAGGCTTTGTTCATTTGGTTGTCGTCTCTGTCCCCCGTTCTGTGCAGAGAAAGCAATGTCTATGTATGGAGAAAACCTAAGCCTTGCATGTCGGAAATACTTCAAATGTGACTTGCTAGGTAAGAAATATGCTGGTGTTTTGCCTTTTGTTGCATTGTTTGTATAGTTATGTCAGCCCCCTTTTTTGCTGTATATATTGAGTTCACATTACAACACAGTGGGGCTGTATCATATTGGTGTGTTGCAAATGATAGCATTGATCCTATGTTGCAATTTTTTACTCTGCTTTGGGAATATTGCATTGACTTAGACACAATTGATCCACTAGGTGTACTTGTCTAAAGCAAACTTGGCACTTGTTTGAGTTACAGGCATGTAGGATATTACAGTACACTCTCATTAATTCAAACTCCGGGAAGTCACATATTTTAGTTTGAATTATCGGAAATTCATGTAAGTATGATACTAGACAGCATTATGTCTTGTTACATGAAGAAATGAACACATACAAAGCAGATTTTTGCCAGTTTCCTCTATATAGGCCTAATTATAAGCAAGTACAGGCATAACACATTGGTGAAAGAACTGAACTTTGTCTTTGTAGATGTCCAGAACACCGGATGCGGACTATAGTCCGCAAAAACGCATTTTGCGTATGTCGGGTATTGCGAGGATACGGGAATACAGCAGACTCATTAATTTGAACTCCAAGAAGCCACGAATTTTGTTTAAATTATTGCTCGTTGGAATTATCAGAAATTCATCTAAATATGATGCAAGATAAAATTATATGTCATATGAACGACTACACACACGAAGCAGATATTTAGTGATTTCCTCAGATAGGCTTACTGATCATAAGCAGGTATGCGATACATAACACATTTGTGAAATGTATGACATAAGCTTATTTATCCCTTAAAAATGTTGTTTCGTGGACTGTTTAGACAGCAGATCACAACTCAAAACAAAATTAACTTGGTTCTTCAGGCCAAGAGGTTGTCTAATGTGGACTATTAAGCAGGGAACACATGAGCAATGAAAACTGGCACCGCGCGGCAGTTTCCATAGCAACTTGCGCGGACGCTGTGACGTGGACCTATGCCATGCCGCTACGTCACAGCGTCCGCGCAAGTTACTATGGATGTTTGCGCGGTGCCCCTTTTTCAGAGCTCATGTATGCCCCCTTGAGCCCCGTTGAGTTCGCTTCTCACCGAGCACCGGTGCACCGCGGAGAAGCAACACCCGTGGAAGCACGTTTTGCGGGTGTTGCTTCTCTGCAGCGCAGCAGCGCTCGGAAAGAAGCGCACTCAACGGGGCCGCGAGAACCAAAAGTATGAATTAAGCGAAAACGCCGTTCGAATTAAGCGGCTTATAAATACATTAAAAAGATAGCGAGACAACCAAAATTTTCAAAACTGTTTGAATTAACCGGAAGTATGAAATATCCGAGTTTTAATTATCGCGACCCTACTGTAGTTAAATGCTGTTTCAGCCATAAAACGTTTGAAGACAGAATAACCGAGTGTTCATTCATTTTTTGGTCCTAAAATCAAAGTTCCTGTGATGAAAAAAAAAGTTTAATTGTTGTCCCAAATTGGTGGCTGAATAACCTCGGATAGGTCTTGGCATTATTCTTGACAGTATTAATAGTTCACTATCTTGTCAACTATATTATCACATACGTTTGTAGCATATAGACATCTTTCTTAACATGGTTATTAAGAACAAGCAGACACAATCATGATATTTTTAGCATGATTCTCATTAGTGCACCCCCCCCCCCCCCCCATCTTCCTTTGCCTAGTAGAACTTTGAGAGCAAAAAGGTGCACGGCAGAATTAATTGCTTATTGATGCGGTTTGCGTACGGACTAGTCTGTTTCAGAAAATGGCTTGATTAAAGTTGGAGTGTAGCTTTTAAGAAACTGTAGTAATTAACAAGCATAAGGCAACCTCATTTACATGACAAAAATGAGCTGATTGTTGAACAAATAGTAATAATGTTAAATGTATTATTGAGGTCATAAGCACTGTGCATGTACAGGCCTGCAAAGCATGCATCTGCTGTGTAACTCAGCACAATATTGTCACGGGTGGTGACCAAAAGAAACAATAAATACACAGAAAGAAATAGACGTTTAATGTGGCGAACTTGTGCCAAAAATAAAAGGAAATAGAAAAATAACAACAGAGCGTCGCGGGCGTCGAAGGCGGCGAAGCAGCAAGGTCGAACGCTGAGGCGAAACTGACTCGACAAGGTCGCGGGCGGCCTCTTATCTAGAGTGCTCCGCTATCTCGAAGATTCGGCGAAAGCGGTTCGAGCGTCGCGTGATCGGGCGAGAATGAACACGCACTTTCTAGAAAACAAAAGCAGGGATAAATGATAGAAGTTACGTGCGGTACATGAATAAACGGGATCTTTCTGGAGGACCGTGACCGAGCGTTGCTTTCTCAGCCTTGCGCGCGGCATTACCCCCCCCTTTAAAAGTGCATCGCCCCGATGCAGTGTAAAACAAATCAAAATAAAAAAAGAACGATAAACTAAAGAGTCTTTTGGAGCACAAAAGGTCCACAGTCCTATCGAGCGTAGTACGGCTTCAGGCGCACGACGTGGACGACCTCAGGTCGTGGTGGGCGACGTGACGATGTTCGTGTTCCGTCGGGCATCACCTCGTAGTTCAGATCCCCGAGTCGACGAAGCACTTTGTAGGGTCCAAAGTATCGTTTCAGCAATTTCTCACTGAGGCCGCGGCGACGGATGGGCGTCCATACCCACACCCTATCTCCGGGCTGGAAGTGGACGTCCCTGCGACGAAGGTTGTAGCGGCCGGCGTCGACGCGTTGCTGGTCTTGAATTAGGAGTCGGGCGAGCTGGCGAACTTCTTCGGCGCGTTGAGCAACCGCCTGGGCGTCGTCGCTCTCGTTGTCAGATGGCTCATGGGGCAGCATGGCGTCCAGCATGGTCGTTACCTTCCGACCATGTACCAGCTGGAAAGGGGTGAATCCAGTGGTCTCTTGAACCGCCGTATTGTAGGCGAACGTGACGTAGGGCAGCACCTCGTCCCACGTCTTGTGCTCTACGTCGACGTACATAGAGATCATATCGGCGATTGTCTTGTTGAGTCGCTCGGTCAGTCCGTTGGTCTGCGGGTGGTATGCAGTGGTTCGACGATGGCCGGTGCCACTGAGACGAAGGATCTCTTGCGTCAGCTGGGCCATGAACGAAGATCCGCGATCTGTAATCAGAACCTCGGGAGCGCCGTGCCGGAGGACGATGGACTCGATGAAAAACTTGGCGACTTCCACAGCAGTCCCTGAAGGAAGAGCTTTCGTTTCGGCGTACCGCGTGAGATAATCTGTGGCGACGATGATCCAGCGGTTCCCCGACGTCGAAGGCGGAAAAGGACCAAGTAGATCCATTCCGATCTGCTGGAAGGGTGTAGTTGGAGGAGAAATGGGCTGCAGAAGTCCGGCCGGCCTCGTCGGCGGTTTCTTGCGTCGCTGGCACTCGTGGCATGATCGTGTGTATAGGTGGACGGTCTTGGGGAGCTTCGGCCAGTAATACTTTTCACGAATACGGGCCAGTGTCCGGCTGTAACCAAGGTGTCCGGATGTCGGGTCGTCGTGGCAGGCTTGGAAGATCTCCTCTCGAAGGTCACTCGGGATTACCAGCAACCAAGGTGTGTTGTTGTTGCCGAAGTTCTCTTTGTAGAGTACACCTTGTCGGATGGCGAAGGTCGGCAGTACTCGTGAGAAGACACGTGGCACGGTACTCCTGCCCCCTTCCAGGTGCTCGATTAATGCGCGCAGCTCAGGATCGTCCCGTTGACGTCGTGCCATATCGTCGGTGTTCACTGCTCCTAGAAAGCACTCGTCGTCATTGTCGTCGCTGCAGCCGGAAGGGGTTTCGACGGGGGCTCTGGACAGGCAGTCGGCGTCGCTGTGCTTGCGGCCTGACTTATAAACCACTGTCATGTTGAACTCTTGTAGTCGAAGACTCCATCGAGCGAGGCGTCCTGACGGGTCCTTCAGCTTCGCAAGCCAGCAGAGCGAGTGGTGGTCCGTGACTACACGGAACGGGCTGCCGTACAAGTACGGACGAAACTTCGTTATTGCCCAGACGACCGCAAGGCATTCTTTCTCAGTTGTGGAGTAATTTTTCTCCGCCTTGGACAATGTCCGACTTGCGTAGGCGATGACTCGCTCGATGCCTTCTTGCACTTGGACTAGTACTGCGCCCAGTCCCGCGTTACTTGCGTCCGTGTGAATTTCTGTTTCCGCATCCTGGTCGAAATGTCCTAGCACAGGAGGAGTCTGGAGTCGTCGTTTCAGTTCGTCGAATGCCTGCTGTTGCTCCTCGGCCCATTCGAACTTCTTGGCGTCCTTCGTGAGATTCGTAAGTGGTGCGGAAATCCTTGCGAAATCCCGAACGAAGCGTCGATAATAGGCACAAAGTCCAAGGAATCTTCGCACGGCCTTCTTATCTGTCGGCGCTGGAAATGCCGCGACGGCGCGAGTCTTCTCGGGGTCTGGGCGGACGCCTTCGTTACTAACCACGTGGCCAAGGAACTTCAGTTCGTCATAGGCGAACCGGCACTTTGACGGCTTGAGTGTAAGTCCGGCGGTCTGAATGGCTTGAAGAACAGCTCGGAGTCGTCTCAAGTGCTCGTCGAAGTCAGCTGAAAATACTACGACGTCGTCAAGGTAGACGAGACAACTCTGCCACTTCAGCCCTGCCAGTACGGTGTCCATGACACGCTGGAAAGTTGCTGGCGCTGTGCATAGTCCGAAGGGCATCACCTTGAACTCGTACAGTCCATCCGGCGTGACGAAGGCTGTCTTCTCTCGGTCCCGTTCGTCGACCTCGATTTGCCAGTAGCCGCTCTTCAGGTCCATCGATGAAAAGTATCGAGAGTGGCGCAGCCGGTCTAGAGTGTCGTCGATGCGGGGGAGTGGGTAGACGTCTTTCTTCGTAACCGTGTTTAGCTGCCGGTAGTCCACGCAGAACCGAAGAGTTCCGTCCTTCTTCTTAACCAGCACGACTGGAGAGGCCCATGGACTGCTTGAAGGTTGGATTATGTCGTCATTCAGCATCTCTTGAACTTGCTGATGGATCA